GAATGTCAAAATAAATGCTCAAGGAAAATGCCCCCCAAACTCATTTGCTTTTGTAAATCCTTAAAAAAAAAAACAAACCATCAAGGAGGCTGGGGGTGTAGCTCGGTGTTAGACCACTTGCGTAGCATGGGTGAGACCCTGGGTTCAACTGCTAGCACTGGGAAAGAAATTAAAAAAATAAATAAACTACATGGCTGTTGTCACCCTTTTGTATTATCTATCAGTGGCTTTTTCTAAGTGATCATTATAATCTTATGCAAGACACAAAACTAGATTAAGTGAGAACTAAAACATTATAGCATAGTCATATCGAATATTAAAAGTTGTGCCTCACATTTGAATCACGAGTACTAAAGCCTCCCCACATCTCTTGGGAGATAATAAATAGTAGAGTGTCTACTCTCTGGAAAGCCCTTTAATATATGCCCCCTGTCAGTTTAGTATTACTGCTCCCATTTTACAGACGAAGAAACCAAAGCTCACAAATTATAAAGGGCAAGTCTGAAGTGGAACTAATTGGCAATGCCAGGATTCCCAGCCCTGGTTTCCACTCTGCAGCTCAATTTCTCATTTTATGATCACAGCGAAGCCTGCAGTGACCTTGACCGGTTTTGGAAAAAAACTGAGTTAATAATGTTAACCTCAATCTATATTTACACTTACTGGAATCATTTAGCCAGCAAAAAGCACTCTATTCTCTCTGGTTTTGCTCCAGTCCAGTCGGAGCAAGTTCTTAGATGTGCCCATTTATTAAAAATGCAGGAGTTGCAACAACACTGGGCCGGGATTACAGGGTTTAAAAGGAAGGGCCATTGGGTTTTTTAGTTTTGGGTTTTTGAATATTTTATTTCAGTGTTACAGACTTTTTTTTTTTAATGATGGCTCAAGTGGACAGAAAGGAAAAAAAAAAGTCAAAACTGAGATTCAGAAAAATAATTTGGCCCTGTTTCTACGGCAATCATGACTGGCTATGTTCCAGAATTTCCAAAGACAGTATCAAAGACCAGGTGAGGTGTCAGAGAAACAAAAAAAGATTCTTAGCTGCAAAATGGTGATCTTTTGGAAGAAAGTAGACAGAAAGAAAGAGAAGAAAGTACTAGAGGAAGTACAGAAATGATTTGTATTCCTTTGGGGATTTTGAGAAAGAACCTTTATTTTCAAAGCCAAAACAAGAGACGCAATGAAGCAAGTTCTATGCCAATTTATTGGGCTGCAGGAAGGCCTTTTATTCTTCTATTGAAGAAAAAGAGCCAGTATTAGGATCAATAATAATAATAGCAGCTCACAATTACTTAATACCAACCAAGGACTAGGAACTGTGCTAAGTGGTTTACACATATCAGCTAATTTAATTCTCACAATTTCATGAACAAGTATCATTAATACACCCATTTCACAGATGAGAAATGGGTTCAGAGAAGTTAATTTATCCAAGGCCATGCAAGAACAGCAGGGGATTCCCATTCAGATCTGCTCCTCTGCTGAGCCTTGCTCACCCTAAAACACAGGGAGACAAGACAGAAGTCCACTGTCATGCATTTGCAGGGCTCTTCAACACCCTGAAGACCTTCATGGAAAAGAACAAACCAACAAACACATCCGGACCAACAAAGACATCTATTCTAAGTCATGGATGTAGGTTACCCTAATGCCTCACAGAAGACAGCTCATCTTTGGGTACCTCTCAAAATGTGCATGTTGGACCACCCAGCTTCTCCTGACTCCCCTCCCCCATGCCACCTTTAATCTCCAATTCTCAACTCTCTTGCCATAGGCTGATGCCCACTCAGGACAGTCCAGATACAGAAGGGCCCAGAGAATCCCATATCTGCCTTCACAATAGTCACATTTACCCCAGGCGAGGATAGAAAGAGGATGGCTGATCCATTCAAAAGAGAAAGGTAAATGACTACTTTGCAACTGAAGTTGACCTTTAGGGAAAGACATGGGATACATTTAGGGGTGGCTCTGATGACATTTAGAGAGAAACTAGAAAAGTTCTTGATGTTTCTAGGAGCCACCAGTCAGATTCCTGGAGACAATCAGGGAAAGGTTCCATTGGGAAGCAGCCCCAGGACTTTTACCTCAAAACTGCTGGTCATCACTTCCAGCTCAATATCCAGGGCATTGTCTAACTGTCTCCTTGGCCAGGAATTCTCGAAGCTGGCACTTTTGTGACCTCAAGCTTTCAGGTGGAGCTTTTTCCTCCCAGTGGAGTTTGATTTCTGTACCTGAAACCAATGAACTCATCCCTGAGGACCTGTGAAAGCCAAGAGCATTCTGTTCTGACAGTCTGCCCACTTAGGAACCTGGGAGGATCAGAAGGAAAAACTACTTGCTCTGGTCCTGAGGAGGTTGGGGGGTGAGGATTAGGCCGTACAGGAGATGGAAGGAAGTACTTAATGGATCTTTCACGGATGACATTTTTCACCATGTAAATCACTCCCTGCACACTGCACACCTAACATATCCCTTGAGTGGGGCACTCACTGCACGTATGCCTCTTGTTTTAGGCAACCTCATTTGAGGTGGAGGATAGCAAGCCTATTTCCTTGACAACTCAGGTCTCTGAAAGGATGAGCAGCTCACTGGGGCAAGAACCTTAGGCCAGGCATGATGGCATGGTGGCACACACCTGTAAACCCAGCCACTTGGGAGGCTGAGGCAGGAGGATCCTGAGTTCAAAGCTAGCCTCAGCAACTTAGTGAGGCCCTGTCTCTAAATAAAATACAAAATGGGGGGGGGGGGCCCTCTGGGAATGTGGCTCAGTGGTTAAGTGCCCCTGGGTTCAATCCCCAGTACCACAAAAACAAATTCAGTCCTAATGCTAGACAGAACCAGTGAGGGAGGTGTAGGTAAAGGGCCTCCAGTGGGGGTAGATTTGTGGGTCAAGACACCAGGATTTTTTCTGAAAATAGCTGTGACACAACAGTCCCCTACCCCTCCTGCTTGCCTGAGAGCCTAGACATCATCAAAACTGATCTTAGCTGCAATATGATTGTATGATTGTCCCTCTTTCCTGCCCCCCCACCCCCGCCATCATTCGAAATGTTTCTAAGTCACAATTCGGGGCATTGAAACTACCACATCCAGCACTGCATTTTTTTTTTTTTTTTGAGAGGCAATGAAGGTAAGGAAAAGAAGAAGAAAAAGAGAACAGAGCTGATAGAGAGTGGCAGAGGTACAGGATGGGGTTTGGCAACATCACCTGCAAAAGGAAAACTAGATTCCTGCAGTGTGTTGCCTTCTCTGAGGCAGTTAGAGGAGTTTGGGGGCCAACAAAGGGCCCGGTCGGTCAAGATCTTTCAGTACAAAGATTTAGTCTTCACCTCTGAGAACAGTCTGGGAAAGGGCAGAGGTGCTTGGCAAACCTAGGGAGGAGAGCCTGGTCCTTGTGGCTCCTGGAGGAATGCCCGGGTCCTGGGGTTCAGAGGTTGTAAGCAGTGGAGCCTGTGAGTCCCATGGAGCTCTAGGCATGTAAGATAATATTTTAAGTGCTCACTTCTTGAGCATTTTCTAAACGTTGAAGCTATTAAAGGTAAGGCCCAGTCCCCCAGAGGCAGGTAGGCTCTGTAGTTCAATGCCCAGCCCCACCTCTGGAAGCTGAGGGAACCAGGGCCTGGATGGAGCCTCCAGGCAGCAGAGGCTTTGGTTAGCAGTGGGAGTGTGTCCATTAAGCAATGGCTGCATGTCTTACAATGTTGTCACTTACAGATAAAGGAAGACAGAGAATTAAACCACTTAAGAAGAACAATGGGGAAAACCACAAGGAATTGAGAAGGCACAATGAGGAAGCGGGATTACCAGAGCTCTGGGGGGACTTTAAAGGCTTTAGGGATTCCCTAAGACACTTGCCTCTCACCATCCCTCAACACTGTGTTCACTCTCTGAGCCACACCCCCCTTTAAAAGGTACCAAGTTCTGGATGGGTTTGCTTCCAAGATAAGGGACTACAGGGCTTCAAGGGAAGGCTTGGAACCCCAGTGGCCCTATTCTCTATATATGCATCTGCAACTGGATCTATGCCGAATTAGCAGCTTTGAAGAAAGAGGTCTTCTTATTGTCTTCTTGCCTCTGCCCCTCTGGAAATAAAAGTAGGTTGTGCTTCTCCTGTCCCAGTTCCTTACAGGGAAACCAGAGCTAAAGGGCTTCTTGGATTACCGCTTCCAATTCTCAGTCCAGTGTATCAATGTCTGTGCCTTTTGTCTTGGCTACTGCAGTTTTGATGAGAGAAGCCAAAACCAGTCTTGGGGCTGGTTAAGACTGAGATCCTGCAGCACAGGCACAGAGGTCCTGGACCTCTGGAGAGGTGGTGCTCTGCTCCTGGGATTCCTTCCATGTGGTAGGAGGTGTAAGAAAGGAGGATGGCCAGAAAGCCACAGGTGCACTCACAGGTGCAGAACACACCTGCACTGGCCAGGTAGAGAAAGCCTCTGGAGAGGTTGCTGCTGGGGCAGAGCGCTCTCTCCATGGGCTCGTTTGCTCACAGAGACACTTCTGGGGCTGGAGAACTGCAAGTGGGCATTGCAAGATCACGGAGCGGGGAGGTAGAGGGGGCTTAAAGAGGCAGGAAAGGAGCTGTTTTCTTCACTCTAATGCTTGAAAACCAAGACTCAATCTTGTGCCAGGTCTCTTCCCGCTTCCCTTATCTTTATTTTTATTAACTCAGCCCCGAGGTCCGTGACCCGCCAAGGAGACTAGAAGTTGAAACACTGCAGATAGAACCCTGGGACCCGCACAGCCACACTACTACCCGCTGTCCTGGCTCCTTGAGCCTGTACCTAGCCACTCTCTCCGCTCGCCTTGGACGGCAGGGCTGGGTCCCTCTGGCTCTCCATAAGGGGGCCAGCAAACGCTCTTTTTCAGGCTGACCGCGGGGGGAAGCAAAAGTTGGAAATGCCCGGGCAGAAATACCTGCCCGTCCGAAAGGGTGCAGAACTGGATCCCTAGAGGGCCGGGGCACGTAGGGAAGGCGAGGGGAGAACCAGGGAGCTTCTCACCGCTTGTGGCGGAGCAGCGACCTCGCGCGCCAGGTGGGGCCCCTCCACTAAGCCTGGAGCGTAGGTGGCGCCGGCGGCACTTACCCCAGAGCAGAGTGAGCGGCATGGCTTTGGGGATGAGCACCAAGGAGTACACGGCACCCAAGTGAAGCAGGCTCATCAGGACCACGTTCCTCCAGACGATGTTCAGCCGCTGCTCACGCGCGCCAGGCCTCTCCTGGCGATCGCAGAACGCCAAGCCTTCGAGCTCAGCACGGATTTCCTCCTTGGCATCGCAGAAGGAAACCTTCCCCGCGTCAGTGGCCTGGCCTGGCATGGCTGGGGAGAGGTGGGCGCTGGCAGCAGCGACGCGAGGAGCAGCTGGCTGCGGCGGGGGCTCCTGCCTTTTAGCCGGGATTCTCCGCACCTCACGTCCCCGCCCTCCCAGCCCTTCTCTCTTCTTCAGGCGTTCAGCGTAGCCTAAGGATGCCAATCCTGGCGGACGGCATCTGTTGCTGGCGTATCACCCGTGCAGCTGTCGAGCTCAACTCCGCTGCGAGGAAGAGGAGGCGGGAGCGTGGGGCGGGAGAAGGCGCGGAGCAGGGGCCGAGAGGGCGGGGTGGAGAGGGCTGCAGCGCTAGCCGGGAGCCGGGGAAGAAAGACCTGCATAGCTACAGCCAATCAGCACTGCCCATGGGGCTCTTAAAGAGAAGGCCCCCTAAGCCCGGAGTCTGGGCTCCGCAGGGAGCCCTCCTGGACAGAAGTTGGTAGCTCCTGACCGGGGTTCGGTGAGATGGGGCTCCGGGGACAGGGAGCCTGCAGCATGGCTCTCAGAGTGCCTCCCAGCACTCTTGTTGGTTTATGTGTGTCTATTTTCTCTAGACCCTAAGCATACCGTTTCTAGATGATTCCCATTTGAACCTCGTCCCCCTTCCCCCCCTCAAGCCACAGACCAATCTTGTTGGAAATTTAAAATATTTGCTTGGAGTTTCACCGGGAGTTAAGGGCCACATTTACCATGAGAATCTTAAATTCCTGTCTGGCGGTTAGTAAGGCTCCCTAGGTCCAGGAGAGGAGTGTACGGCAGTCAGTCAACTCTTAGGGAGCCGTGGATGATCCAGGCACACAGCAGGGGCTCAGCGCTTGGTGGTTGATGCTAGAGGATTTGGAGCTGGCTACCAGCCAACAGTGCCTTGCTGCTGCTCAGCTCATCAGCCCTACAGCTCTGTTTACGGTAAATTCTAACTAACCAATATGTTTCTGACTGGGAAAATTTTTTGTTGCTGCCCATTTCTCCCCACCTGCAAGTGGACAATGGAAGAAAAGGGGCTCAGGACTGGAAGCCAGAGGCACTGAGTTCTACTTTTAATTTGCTGTGACCCAGCTCAGCTTCCTGGCACATTTTTTCTTACCTGGGAAACAGAATTAGTCTCTGTTCTTCCTTCCAGCTTGCAAATTCTGTGCATTTGAGTTTGAAGGGGTGCCATTATGTTGACATTATACTGAATATGAGAAAAAGCTGATGTTTTGATTTCTCATTATTAGGAATCCTTTTCAGGATTCCAGGCGAGAGGAAAAAAAAACAAAAATACAAAGGACTGACTTCATGAAAGGGCCACACTGGAGAATCTTACTGTTAGCAGATCTGAGCCAGTCCACTCATCCAGATGAAACAATGTCTAGTTTAAAACTGAAGCAAAATCTGTGGCTTGTGGAATCCCGGCCACTGAGCTACTGTTATGGTGGAGCCTCAGATGGAGCTGAAATTAGAGAACTAAAGGAAACTTGCCTGAGGACCAGATAAATGTTGGCACTGTATAATGACCAGTGAGACAATGGATCGGGGAACTGGAGGGTGTGAATTTCATCAGTTTGCTCAACCTTCACTTTATAATGAACCACTCCCCCCCGCCATGCCTGCTCTATTCCTTCTCACTTCTACCAGACCCACCCACTATCTGTGGCTCTTTAATACAGTCTGTTTTTTCTTTCTTAGGTGGCCTAGTTACTTGGTCAAAGACCTCTCTCTGGATTAGTGTTCTCTAACCATTCAGTCATCTGTTTGGCATTTATTAGACGCCTGCTTTGAGTCAGGACTAGTGAGCACTGGGGATACAAAAATGAATACAGTATGGTCCCTGCCCTAAAGGAGTTACCATAGATCCAAGACTGATCAAATAAATGTAACCTTTTGGCTATGACCTTGGAAGGGCAGAAAGTTCTAATCTATTATAAAAACAAAACAAAACAAAACTTTTTATTATGTATCTTATATACATGGAGTCAGGGGGAGCAGCAAAATAGTTCTTTACTAGTCACACTGAGTTCCTTATCTGTTTGATAAACTGCTTTATCTTGAACCTATCTCAAACCAACATCTTCCTCTTTTCCAATGGATCAGATTGGGTTGGGCCAATGGTTTCAGCTGGTTGACTTCATGATGGAGAAGAGAATGTTTTTGTGTGTTGGGGAGGAGAGAAGTGTCCTTTAGGTCTTCAAATTATACCTTTGAAGACAAATGGCACCTCCTCATCCAGCCTCAGAGTGCAACATCTACCAGTCACAACATATACTCTTGCTAATAACTGTCCACTGTAGCACATTATGCGTCAAGGTCATTGCATGTTTTCTTAGGTTCTGCTCAGAGCCTCAGAAGTGGGTGAATATTCATCTCACCCCAGGATAAGTAACCCTTACCCTGCCAAACAATTACCAAAATGTGATATGAGCCATAATAGTAGTATGTTCGGGATAAAAGGAGGGAGTAGTCCTGTACTTATGCACTGAAAAAGTAGAAAGAAGGAAGTGAGGAGGGAAAGGTTCAAGGACAAAATAGTCATATTAGAAGATACGTCAAATTATAACCATTGCTACATGGGCAATTTTATTTACCAGTGCTATGTACATAGTGGACAAGTTCTTTTGTGAACTATCCAGTCCTCCTAGATATTTAGAAGTGCTTGATATATTTAAAAGTACAAGTGGTAGAATAAAAACTTCTTATAAATAGCTTTTTTTTTTTTTTTTTTTAAAGAGAGGGTAATTAATTCATTTGAAAGGGAGAAGGGAAGGTTATATTTGGGTAAGGATTTCTTTAGAATATTTATTTAGTTGTGGAAAAATACATATAACCTAAAATTTACCATCTTACCATTCAGTAGTGTTAAGCAAGTTTGCATTTTGGTGCAACCAATCTCCAGGACATTTTCATCCTGAAAAACTGAAACTCTATACCCACTAAATAAAAATTCCCTCACTTTCTCCTCTCCCCAGCCCCAGTAACCACTATGCTACTTTCTGTATGTATTCTATTTTCTCTTATATTAGTGAAATCACACTCGATTTATCATTTTGTGACTAGCTTCATTTAGCTTAATGTCTTCAAGGCCCACCCAGGGTTGTATCTGGATCAGAATTTCATGCCTTTTTGAGGCTGAATAATTCCATTGTATGTATGTGCGGCAGGTAGCTTATCTGCTCATCTGTTGATGGATACTTGGTTTGCGTCCACCTTTTGGTCATTGTGAATAATGCTGCCATGAACATAGATGTACAGATATCTCATTGCAATTCTGTTTTTAATTCTTTTGACGGTATGCACAGAAGTGGTATTGCTTGATCTTATGGTAATTCTGTATTTAATATTTTGAGAACTCCCCCACAGCTGCTTTGCCATTTTGCATTTCCATAGCACTGCACAAATATTACCATTTCTTCACATCTTCACTTATACTTAGCTGTTTAGATTTCAGCCATCCTAGTGTGCAATAATATCCTATTGTGGTGTTTGATGGATTTATCTTAATAATTAGTGATGTTGAGCATCTATTCATGTATTTTTTTGATCATTTGTTTATCATTTTTGGAGAAATATCTATTCAAGATCTTGTCCATTTTTTTAAGTGGGTTTCTCTTTTTGCTGTAGTGGTAGTTGTTGAGTTGTGGGAGTTCTGTATATATTCTAGATATTAACCTATCAGATATACAACTTGCAAATAATTTTCTTCCATTCTGTAGGTCGTCTTTTCACTCTGCTGTGTGTTCTATTTTGGTACTGGGAACTAAACCCAGGGATGCTCTACCATTGAGCTACACTATACCTCCAGCCCTTTTTATTTTTTGAGACAGGGTCTCACTAAGTTGCCCAGGCTGGCCTTGAACTTGTGATACTCTTGCTTCAGCCTTGAGTTTCTGGGATCACAGGCCTGTGCCACCATGCCTAGCTCTATTGTGTCTTTTGATACAGAGAAACTTTTAAATTTTTATATATTCCAAGTTATCTATTTTTACTTTTATTGCCTTTGTTATTTTGCATCCAAGAAATCATTGCTAAATCCAATGTCGTAGAGATTTTCCTCTAAGTTTTCTTTCAATTTTATGTTTTAGCTCTTTTATTTAGATCTCAATCTATTTTGAATTAATTTATACAAGGGAAAGGTCCAGCTTCATCCTTTTGTATGGGATACCCGTTTTCCCAGCACCATTAGTTGAAGAGACCCTCTGTCACTGTTTAAATGGTCCTGGCACCTTTGTTGAAGATCATTTATCCATATATGTGAGGCTTCCTTTCTAGACTTTCTGTTCTGTTCCATGGGTCTACATGTCTTTGCTAGTGCCAAACCATTTTCATTACTATACCTTTGTAATAAGTTCTGAGACCTCCAATCTTTGTTCTTCTTTCTCAAGATTGTTTTGCCTATTTGGGGTCCATTGAGATTCTGTACAACTTTTAGTGTGGATTTTTCTAAATCTGTCAAATTTTGATAAAGGCTGCAGTAAATCTTTACACTACTTTAGGTAGTATAGATATCTTAATGATGAACAGAGGACACCCTGTCCTTGGAAACGGGAATGGAATAAATTTGAAAATCTATTTTATTTAATCCAATAGATCCAAAACATATCTTCTCAAGTGTAATCAATATAAAATTATTGAGATATTTTGTACCTTTATCAAGCTGTGCCTTCAAAATTCAGTATGTATACTTATAACATGGCACATCATAATTCAGATTAACCACAAATCAAGGGCTCAATACCCTATGTGGCTAGTTGCTAGCATATCAGACAGCATATTTTTGAAGGGTGAGTAGTTAATAGACAAATGTCAAAGAAAACAACGTGAGCAAAGTTTTTGCACTTGGCATTCAAGGAGGTGTATGGAATGCCTGAAGTGAAAGTAAGGAATATGGGAGACAAAGGTGAAATGGCATGCAGTAGGCAGCCTGGGAGGGCCTGTGGGTGTCTGTGATGCCATATGGAAAGAGCTATAAGGTGGTAAGGGGAGCCAGCTAAAGGCGTTATGCAGCATAATAATTTGATCAAGTTTGCATTGCAGGAAGACCCCAGACTACTTTAGAAGATATGTGGGGAATGACTGGGATAGGAGTAGGGGGATGTAAGACTGAAGGTATGAGGGCCATTTAAGGACACTATGTCAACAGTCTGTTAAGCAATGGTAAGGGTCTGAGGTAAGGCAAAGACCAGATCCTTGAGAAGGGTATATGAGAAGGTAGAAGTAGCCAGATAAGTTTATGAGCCAGG